TTCCTCCGGAGGCCACTCACCTCTCTCCACAGTCGCAATGCCCATGGCTGCCTGAGGGAGGGTGGCGCGACGCTCCCAGCGGCCCTCATCAGCCAGGAAGGCCTCCACGGCAGCGACAGGGCTCTGGCCCTCATCCACACCCCCCACCACTAGCACCTGCTTGCCCAGCACCACGGCAGCGGCGCCGGCCCGGGCAGTGGGCAGGGGTGCCAGTGTCAACCAGGTATGTGAGGCCATGTCCAGCGTCTCAGCAGTGTCCAGGGGCAGTCCAGCCCGGCCGCAGCCCCCCAACACTAGCAGGTGTCCATCCTGGTATGCCACTGTACCATACACCCGGCAGGTGGGCATGGGTGGGAGCACCTGCCAAGCAAAGGCCCGGCTACCTCCCGTGGCCATGGTGTTCACCTCCAGGGGCAGGCCATGCTATTTGCTCAGGCTACAGGCCTCCCTGATGAAAGCCTCATCCCGACTCTACCAGGGGCACAGGGCGCGTCTGAGCAGTCCAGGGAACTTGCCTTCGCCTGAAGGAGAGAGGGAAAACAGAGGGTCAGGACCCCTGATGGGCGCTCAGGTAGAGATAAGCAGCCTGTAGCTGAGGGCAGGGCTGGCTCCAGATCACTGGTGGGAAAGGCAGGAGCCAGATCACTGGCCAGCACACCTCTGTGGAGGCCCTTCTGGAGTGGGAAGGAGGGAGACCTCCAGACTCCCAGACAACCCCCCTTCCCACGTCCTGCCATCACCTAAGGGCTGCCTGGTCCTACCTAGGTCCGGATAGGAGGTAAGCTGACTAGGAAAGGGCTCTCCACCTCCCTCCCATCTTTCCTTCCCCTCAACTGTTCTCACCCTGGTGCTCTGCATGAGTGGAGTCCTACTGTACCCTCCTGGTACTGGCTTCCACTGTGTCATCAATGTCTCCCACCCAATTACCAGGGACCAGACTCCAGTGCACATTTACAACCCCCTTGGGAGCCACTGGTTGCTCTAGTCCCACCAGCAAAAGGCCAAAATCAGGGCGTTCGGGACTGGGGGTGGGGGGGCTGGATGGCAGGGACCCACATTTTCCCTTTAGGTCTACCCTTGAAGAAGTTTGCCCACGCCAGGTCCACACAGGCCAAACTCTTTGATGTCTATAATAGGTGAAGAGGATTATTTGGGGAACCCATGAGCCCCGCACTATAGAGTCCCAGAGTCCAGGGATTTTCCAGCAGGAATGGGCAGCTGGACTTCTTGGTCCCCTCAATGCAAATCCCCAAGTTCCCTAGCCCATTCTTTCCCGTGGGGGGGCCACACTCCTGGGACCCCTGGCGGGAGGACTTCCCAGCCCCAAACTTCCATCCATCTCTCAAGAGGGCAGGGGGCGGGTCCAGACAAGTGAGCTTGGGGTTTTACTCCCGGCGCCCCAAACTTCCCCTGAGCGCGGTTCCTGCGGGACTCACCGGCCGGGGCGCGTGGGCTGCTGTTCCGGGAGCCGCTGGTGCGGGCTCTGGCTGGGGCTGAGCCCGGGCGCTGGCAGGGATCCGGCTTGGCTCTGGCGCGGGGCGGGGCTGGACGGGGTCCGCCCCTCTTCCCCCCTCCCAACTCGGGAAAACCTCCCCCCTAACAATCGCTTTAACTCTGCACCTGCCATGGCTGGAGCACCGTGCGCCGACCCATGGTCACATGCCAACGGCTGAACAGAGAGATGGACACGTGGACACTGGGCCTTCCCAGGACTGAGGGTCCGACCTTGGGCTGGGCCGGAGAGAAATGAAACAGCAGTGAGCAGCACACACGTATATGGTGGGGGGCCATTCTGAGCCAGACCCAGCTTGGGAGCATCCGATGACAGGGGCCGGGTGGGTTGAACCAACAGATCCCGGGGCTTTGAGTGCCGGTGCCCACCCACTGCCACTGAACTTGGAGGAGCCCAAGCACAGATTCGAGGCGGCGCCCCCTGGAGGCCACTTGGGGCGTGGCCTAGGCCTCTGGTGGGTTGGCATTGGAATCTCCCAGCCTCAGGCACAGAGCAGGGCACAGAATAGAGGTGCATGGTAGAGACAGAGGCTAGCCGGGGTTGGAGCAGCAGACAGTGCTGTCCTCAGTACCGGCAGGCCTGTCCACAGGCCTGAGTGGGGGAGAACATTTGGGTTGTGGGGGTCAGTGTAGCTCTGAGCAGGGTATAAGCTTGAGTCAGAAGCCAAGGGACCTTCCAGTCAGGCCACTCTGGCCTTATTCTGTAGAGACTCAGACCTGGGCTATTCTGAGACCCAAGTCATTTTGTGACTGTCCATCTTCAGGGTCCTGGCCCTGCCTCTAGCCACCCCTGGGGTCAAGCAAGAGCAAGTTGGTGTGACAAAGGACTACCTACCTCGGACCCAGACCCTGGCCCATCTTCTAAGCATTCGAGAGTATTAGCTAAGACTGGGAACCAGCAGTCCATTCTTACAGGTCAATGGTTACTTGTAAGAAGTGGTCCTGTGGTTGTGTGTACTTGCTACTATCCTGTCCCTCTTTCGTGGACACTGTCTGTCTCACTTTCCCTAGAAGCATAGCTGGAGACAAAGTTGCAAGTGTATACAGTTAATGTGGGAGGTAAGGCCAGGAAGCACCAGCAGAGAGAAGTGGCAAGGAGAGGGGAGACAGACAATAAAGGGTGTATCGTTAAGCAAGTTACCACTGCAAGCAACTGGGACCAAATCCTTCTGGGGACTCTGGAAGCCAGTGCAGAGCATGGGCCTCACATTATCCACCCCCCACTCCCAGCAAGGGTTGCTGAGTTCCTCATTCGCCCATCTCCATCAGTCATGGAGTGACAGCTACTTGGGGGCATTAATTACCTGGTCTTCCTGACTTCTGGCCTGCCCAGAGCATGGGTAGAGCCTTGTCCATGACCAGAAAAAGTCTTCAGCCACTTTCAGGGGCTGGCAGTTGGAGTTGGAGAACCTTCCTGAAAATGGTGGTGCCAAGGTCAGTTACAGATCCTGGCTGGAAGGCTTCCACTCTCCCACTCTGCCCCTTTAGATACCTCCCAACACACCCCAAGTCCCTCCACACTCTTCTTCCTCTCCTCCAAACTCTTGAAGCCATCTATTTTAATGGGTTCCACTGCCCTGATAGCTGCACCAAAGTTGCCCTTGCCACAGTCACCATGGAACACCATCTAGCTAAAACCTAGGGGGTCTTTGTCTCAACTGAAATGTTGCTGGCATCTTTCAAGTTTCAACCCTGTGACTTTGACTTCCTTCTGCTTTGACACAGCAGCCTCTGAGTTTTAATAGGCCCTGCTTCCTATTAACTCCCCAGGAAGTGGCTCCTCAAGATCTGGCCCTGGTTTTTCTCCTTGGCATACAGACTCCCTCTGGGAGTGGTCCCTCACTCACAACTATGGCTCCACCAGATTCCTCTGCCCAGATGGATAGGGGTCCAGGGTCCATCACTCAGTGCTATAAAAGATGCCAAATGGTGAACAAGGGTTGGATTTGGGGATGGCCCTATTGTCTCTCCCAAACTCATTCCTTCTGATCCCAGTTACACCTATAGGGTCATATCTGCCAAAGTGAAGTTCAAGTCAGACTTTGCCGTGATGAATGCTTCCAGAGAGTTCCATCTGGGATATATCCGGGCACCAAGAGGCAGAATGATTAGCCTCCTCTTAGAGCTAAGTACCTCATGACCCTTACCTCTAAACTTTATTATCCTCTCTGGTTCTAATGTCTAGAAGGAACACCATCTCAGGATGGACTTACTCCACCCCTGCCCAGTCCTTCATTTTACACTGACCTCTGGGCTGGACATCACCAGGGAGTGGTGCCTTTTCTAGGACACAACTAGGACTCTGCTATATCTGGAGGATGGGCTCTGACCCTTTAAGAAAATGGCTTCTGTTCATAAAATCTGGACACCACCTGAACACTGGGGGGCCAACACTGCTGGCTTTTGAGAAGCTGTGGAACATAACTAGGGCAGAAGGTGAAGCTGGATTGGTCCTAAGAGTAAACAACTAATCCTCAACCATTGGTGGGGTAGAGACAGGTCTCACCCACAGTTGAGGACTAGGAACATTATGATGGTACTTCTTGAATGCACCCCCTGAGATCTTGGCCCTTAGGACCCCACCCTTCTCTCCTCTCTACCAGGACAAAGGGCTAGAAGCACTGACCCCAAATGAGCAGGAGAGTTTGCATTTCCTGTTGGACACCTTGGCTACACTTTAGGCACTGAAGACCCCACCATTAGTGCTGAAGCCTTGTGAAGCTCGGGAGCACCAGGTGAGGCCTAGGGTAGAGTATTTCTCTTTAGGGTGTCAAGACCCCTCTGTATGGGCAGGGAAATGTATAGCAGCCTTAGGATCCTGGAATAAGATGGAGAGAAAGGAGCGCTATTAACCAGTCCCCAAATGAAGCATCCATCACCCTCTTGAGCACACTGGCATACTGGGACTCTCAGATTGTATGTGCCCAGCTTTGGGTTTGTGTGTAGCACAAATGTGCACACCAGCCTTTCATGACACTCGCGGTGGGTTCCATTCTCAGGAAGAGAGGAGAGTCTACTGCCCACAGAGGAGGTACCAGCGCTACAAAACGAAGAGGCTCCCCTGCAACACTCCCAGGCTTAGGGCACTCCTCTTTTGCTCTCTGGTCAGGCCTGAGACCGAGGCAGGCCTTGTGAGTGTTAACTCCAGAGGGTTAAGGATAGCTTGGATCTTGCCAGGAGTCCCTCCCAAATGTTGCTGCAGCACCAGTCCCCTCAAAGAGGATGTCAGTCAGGCCCACAATCAAGTCCTGGATGGGCTCCAGTGCAGTCCTGCTGGGGAAAACGTCCAAGAGCGCCTCTGCTCCTCAGACTCCTGCACAAGCCCGGATGAGTTTAGAACGGTCCCTGCTGCTACTTCCTCCAGGAAGCCCTCCCAGGTACCCACTTACTCTGCCCCCCAACTTTGGGGGAAACCGGGTCTAGGGGGTCAAGGGTCACCAGGGCGGGCCAGATCCCGGAAGCGGAAGCGCACTGCACTTCCGGTGCGCAGCGGGCGGCCATGTTGGAGCAGCGGAGGCGGCGCAGAGGTGCGTCCTGGGTCCCCGCGGCGGCGCCGGTAGGTTGGGGCCATGGGCCTAGCCGCGCCGCGGAGGGGCTATCCGCGAGACGTTAGGGCAGACGGACCGGGCAGCCGGTCCAGCCGAGACCCTCAACCCATCCCCACCCCGTGCCCAACGACCCCACCCTGGGCTGCGCGGCCCGTCGGGTTGATCCAGACGCCCGGTGCATCTTGCTTCCTCTTGAGACCCACCCCGCTCCTAACCGCGGTTCGGGCCGCGGGGACTTGGATTCCCAGCCCTGAATACCCTGCCTGGGGTCCTCTTGGATAGGGCCTCTCCCGTCCCCCATCGTCAACTTTCCCTGCCGGCCCTTGGGGCACGTATGAAAGGAATTGGGGGGCCGGGCTGCTGCCTGTCCACAGCTTCTTGGGAAGCTCAGAAGACCCTACCGAAGCGTTCATACCGACTTGGGCAAAAGAGCACCCAGTTCATCCCTAGTACCTGTGCCGGTATCTGAACCCTTACCTGTTCTACAGTTCAAAGCCCTGGGAACTACACCCCCTAGAAAAATAAAATAACTAAAGCCACGTGCAAGGATTGTGCTTGGAAAATGGCCTCTGGAGAGGGAAAGTGACTGAGACACCTGAGGATCTGAGGATGTTTCCAAACAAAGAGTCCCAAGGCACTCCCTCTAGGGGATTCTGAAAACTTGATCTGCTCCATTAGGGTAGTAAGAAGTAGCTGCACAGACGGTCCCCCTGGCCCCAGGGATTGCCTGATCCCAGCTGATCTTTTAGTGCTCTCTGTGTAGATAGGGAGCTGCCTCTGGGCCCTCATTGCTGGGTGGGGCATTAGATATTAGACATGACCCACAGCCTACAGCTTCTTCAGAGAATCCTGGGACAACTTGGGTGTTTCCAGACAGCTCCATCTGGGCTGTACCAAGGTTGGCCCTCCAAGCCCTGGTTAGAACGGCTCACATTTCTACTGTCCACCTTACTGATTGTCCTTGGAGCTCTTGGATCTCATTGTTAGACCTTGGGCTCTTGATCTGGCCCCAAAGCTGCCTGATTGTCTAGAGCTGTGTCATTACTACCTACTGCTCATCATCTCTTTAGGTTCTGTTGAAGGAGAGTCTGGTTGGTCTCCATGACTCTAGAGCTAGTAATTGAACCTCCAGATGGCCTACCTGGGAACTCTGAAAGCAGAACTTCTAGTGGGCAGGGAGATTCACCCCTGGGCGCCTGAACAGCAGCATCTTCAGGAACAGGGATGGGCATGGATATTGGGTATAAGTCTGGACCCTTCAGCCAGCATTCAAGGAGCATTTAAGATAAGATTTGTGTTGCTCTATTTTCACCCATTTTTTCCAACTAGATCTTTCAGCCCTGACCACAGACTCCAGTCACATCAAGTGTGGCTTACTTTTCCTCACTTTGGAGTCTTTGCATAGGCTGTTCCCCTTTTCCATTTCCATCTGATCCTTTCCTGTTATCACTCAAGTCCCTGCTAGGTGTTGCCTCTCTCAAGAATTCTTTCCTGACTCACTGGCAAGCTCAGCTGGGTGCCAGTGTGTATTTCCAAGAACCTTGATGGTATCTTGCCTTCTGTACAGGGCCCCTTGAGGACCGAGATATTCGCTTATGTTCCCATGGTTGAGTCTAATACTAGAGTTGTGGCCTCAGAGAAAACAGAATCGAATTAAAACAGCCAAGCCAAGCCCAGATCTTTCTAGGTACACAACAGCAGTTTGGATAACTCTGATGAGCTTGTGGGCCTCTATTCTGGAAAAGCTGCCTTTGATCCACATGGGTCCTCTCCCCAACCTCTACCCCACCACCATGGTAGGTCAGAACTGTTTACTTCAGGGAGTAGCTTGCTCTGGTCAGGCCTCTCTGTCAGTGGATGTTACAGAGCCTGCAAGACCTGTCTGCCTGTTCTGACCCCTTTCTCAATGCCATTCTCATTGACTCTTTTCCTCTTGCCTTGGAGGTGCCAAGCGCTGGTTTGCGGCTGCCCAGGCAGGTCTGCAGCACCTAATGCCATGAGCGTGGTGGTGCAGCATGTGGAGGAGAAGGCTGTACACTCTTGGTCGCGGATATCCACAGCAGGGAAGAAGGCCCTGGAGGAGGCGCTGCTTGTCTTTAACCCCATGAGCCAGGATCTCAGTGCCACAGAAGCTCAGCTTGTGGCCTTTTTGCAGGGCCTACGGGATGATGGTTTTCAGCCTACCATCCTGCGCAGTGGTGATGTCTACGGCTATAGTTCATGCACAGCCAAACCCCCAAGCCAGACGAAGCTGCAGGCTCGTGCCCCTACCCCAGCCACTACATCACTTCCAGCCAGTGCTCCCCGAACTGCTATGCGGCTGCCTGCAGGCCGGGCCACGCTGCTTCCCATGCCACTGTCTGGCAGGCTGGCCAAAGCTTCCACGCCAGCCCTTGCCAAGCATGCTACTACCAACTTGCTACTGAGCTCACTAAAGCAGTCAAGTGCCAGCCGTGCCCGGGGTACGGCAATGGGTTTCCCCGCCCACCTCTACCCAGGTGTCTACCCTGCCATGCGGCTCTCCGTTGTCCTTGAGGCGCTGGTTCCACTCAAGACTCCCATGCCCTGCTTGGGTACCAAGCACAAGACACAGTCCCTACAGCTGTCTCTTGCGGACTCTTCCCTGAAGCTAAGGAAAGGTTCAGCAAAGGGGCTGGGGAATCCCCAGCCCAAAGTTCCAAGAAAAGCCACAAGCAAGGGTCCTAAGTGTCTGATTCGCAGAGGCCCCAGGGCTGGACCCCAACAAGGCACTGGGCCTCAGAGAAAGACCTGTAAAACTACTGGGTCCCTTAGTGGCCCGCGAATGAAAGGTGTCTCTGCCTTGAGCACCAAAACAGCCCAGGCCAAGGCAGCTAAAACACTAGCCAAAGTGGCCTGTGCACAGGCCAAGGTGGTTCGAACACAGGCCAAAGTGGCAAAGGCCCGGGAAAAAGCTAAGGCAGCTCGTGCCAGGGCCAAGGCCAAGGCAGCACGGATCAAGGCCAAGGCCAAGGCTAAGGCAGTGCGGGCCAGGGCCAAGGCCAAAGCCAAGGCAGTGCGGGCCAAGGCCAAGGAAATGAGGGCCAGGGCCAAGGCTAAGGCAATGTGGGCCAAGGTGGCTCGGACCCAGCGCAGGGGCAGGGGCAGGCCGAAGGGGTCTGTTCAGGCCAGGACTGCAAGGCCAGGCCAGAAAAGCCACCCTGAAACTGTGGGGCAGAAGAGGAAAAGGGCTGAAGAGGCTGAAGATCTTCCCCAGAAGAGATCACGGCTTGGGCCCCGATCCCCTAAGGCATGTCTAGGTCCTGGAACAGCCAATCTACTGAAATTCCAGGCCATCAAGGTGGACAGGCGGTTCTCAGACGATGAGGTGCTGCTGCAGGCTCAACGTATCCTCCGTGTGAACCTGTCCCCTGTAATACGGCTACAGCCGTTGCTGCCATACTCGGTACCCTGATTCCTTCACATAGCAATGTTTCGGGAAACTGAGCCCAACTGTCTGTGTTGTCAGTGGCACAGTGTGCAATGCCCATGGACTCTGGGTGCCTCTCCAGGGCCCTAGCAGCCACCAGCCTCCTTTCAAAGACTGGAGGATGTGGGGTTGGGGGGTGGGTGGGAGGGGGGTGTTCTCATGGCGCAATGCACTGTGACTCGTTACTCTTCAAGTTGTATGTTCACTGTTTCATCTATCACGTTTTATACCTTTCCACCTGCCAGTCTCCTTGCCTGCTGTCCGTGGTGTGTTTGTGCACACACGCGTGTGTGTGTGTGTGTCTGCCTGCGGTAAGCCAGTGTGAGCATATAGGAAGAGGGGCCTCAGGAACAGGGCTGCGAGAGAAAGTGCTGGTAGCCTGGGGCAGACCATCAATGTGAGTGATGGGAAGTCTGGGAAGGGGTGGGCTTCCAGGCCCCTCTGGATGTCCTGCCCTCTCTAGATGTGTAAGGCAGCTCCTGGGGCAGGGGCAGAGCCACTTAGGTGGGACACCTCCCCTTTGGGCTGCCCTGGTTTGTTATCCAGATAGGACAATAGGTGACTGCGGAAGACCTTGCACCCTGCAGGTTTGTAGGCCAGGGAAGGGGGTTTTGTGATACTGCTCCCCAGGGGTGATGCAGGCAGCCTGGCCTTGTCTGCCAGCCTGCTTTGGCTGAAGCCTTGGGGCTTTGCCTGGGCCCATCTGCCCTAAAGTGGCTGACATACCTTTGCCTCTCCTCCCTTGCTCCTTCCAAAAGAGAGTGACTAGCCTTGACTTTTCTGATTAACAAGGAGTTGAGTAGAGTCAGAGGTGAGAGCCCTGGGTTGTAGGGCAGAGAATCTGTCCTCACTGAGCTAGAAATTTTTTCCTTGGGTGGGTGGGATACTGTAGCAGTTGAGCCAGGAGCCTCTTAAGGTTGTATCCATCAACAGTGCTTTCTGCTTGGGTTCCATGTGCTCCATCTGTTCCCAGCTCCAGCCCCATGCCTCCCATTGGGGCCTGAACATTTCAGATATTATCTGTTCCTTCTTCGGAGAGGGGGCTGGGCTTTGAGCCCTGAACAAAACTAGCTCCCTGCCCATCTGCCAGTTTTTTGCTGGCTGCCCCACCTGAGAGGCAGTGACTGGGGCTGGCAGGGAGGGGGACACGTTCTCCAGAGGCCCCTGGAGACGCACAGCCTTTCAGGAGTAGGGGTGGGAATCTCATTTGAATGAGAATCAGATCTTTTCTGTCACTGTGGGTTAGTCTGAACCCTGGCCCCACTAGCCCTGGTTGCCTCGGACGGACGACCTGCAGAGCTCTTGAGTGCTTCTTGGTGTCCCCTCCACACCTTCCTGCATCTGGTGGCTGTTACTAATATCATTCCCCTGGGTGTGGATGCCCTTGGTTTTTCCAGCTCTGGAGACCCCCTGGGTCCCAGCTGCATGGTGATCCCACAGCACTGGATGCATCTTGCCTCTGACAGCTCTGCTTCCATCTGCCATGTGAGTATGGGGAATGACCTGAGGGCCACACTCAGCTCCTTCAGGGTGGCCCAGCCTTGGGCCCACCCTGCATCCTCTCTCCCAGGCCTGGTTCTAGCTCCCGCCCCTCAGAACCCCCAGCCAGGCTAGGCCCCCTCCTTTCAGTGCTGCTGCTGCTGCTGCTGCTTCTGCCTCAACCAATGGGTGAGAAGTTGGCTCTTTTCCCAAGAGCCATCCAGAGGGGGAGAAGGCTCCAAGCCTCCCGATGGGGTGGGGTGAGGTTGGAAGGGGTGCCCTAGGATCTCTACTCAGACCCTACTCCCAGACCAGGCTCCCAGAACAATTGCTCAGGAGGTGCCAGACAAACTTACCTCACTCGGCTGCTTAGGTGGCAGCTGCTGCCCACCCGCTGGTGACCTGCTTGTTGGCCGTGCCCAGAATCTTTATGCCTCGTCCACCTGTGGACTGCACAGCCCTGAGCCCTACTGCACTGTCAGTCTCCTCCAGGTGGGGAGGAGGGTGAGACCTCTGGCCATGGAGTCTAGGTTTTCCTGGGAGGTTGGGCCCTGTGGGAGTTCAGGTCGTTGCTGGGGGCTGGAAGAGAGGTCTGTGCTGTTAAGTTTTGGAGTTGGGGGGGCCAATCGTGCACCTCCTGCCTAGTCCGTCTCCTTGGGCACTCTGCTAGGATGCTGAAAATTGCTTCTTTTGTGACTCTCGGAACCGGGGTGGCCATGGCATTGAGAATGTGATCTCCTGCAGTAGACCTGCTGGCAACAAGATCTGGTGGCAAGCTGAGAGTGGTGAGGGTGCTGGTGTACCTTTGTGTGTGGGTTTGGGGTCTGAAGTCAGGGTCTGGCCACTGACCAGCCCTTGTGGTTACAGGTGTTGAGAACGTCACCATCCAGCTAGACCTAGAGGGTGCCTTCTACTTTACCCACCTCATCACGACTTTCAAGGTGACCCAGCCTGAAAGCTTGCTGTGAGCCTCCTGTCCTGGTGGCCACCAGTGATGCTTGCCCCTGGTAACCCAAGGACCCCCTACCGTTCCCAGACTTTCCGCCCAGCAGCTCTGAGCCTTGAGCGTTCGATAGACCATGGCCAGTCCTGGCATGTGTACCGATACTTTGCCCACAACTGCTCCTGGCCTCAGAGTCGGTGACCTCGTCTGTGATCAGCGTTATTCGGACGTTGAGCCACCCACTGAGGGCAAGGTCAGGCCCAGAGGAAGGGGGTTTGGGCCCTGGAGTGAAGGAGAGGCTCAGGCTTGCTTCTTCCTCAGGTGATTTTCAAAGTTCCGGACCCAGCCATCCTGGTGGAGTACCCAAACGACCCCAAGATTCAGGGTAATTATTCTCCCAGCCAATCCTGTAGTCCCTGCATATCAGAGCAACCAGAAGCTGGGGGGAGGCAAGGTCCTGCCTGGGTGTATGTGGCAGTGAGACAGGGTGTTAGGTAAGCAGCTTGGTCCCCCAGCTTTGTACCCCAGCTCTGCCCCATCAGTCCTCTGTTGGGGTCCCTGTTATGGGCTCTGCTCCCATCCCAGCACTGTTTCCCGTACCTGTGCCCACTGTGTGGGGATTGGCATGGGGAGGAGTTTCCATCATCTGCCCTGACTGAATTCACATGTGGGGCCCCACTGTGGTCCCTAGCACTGCTGTCCACACCAGTTCCCAAAACCGGGCCCCACATCTCTGCTCCTGTCACTATGTCTCATAACTCCTCCCTTTGGGAGCCTTCATCACTGGCTCTACCATGCCCCCATCATGCCCCCCTCCTCATTGCTGTCCCCCTTGATTCATCATCCTGGCCTTAACTGGCACCCTATATCCCTGCAGCCTAGGTGGCACCAGGGTGTCTTGGGGTGACCTTGTAAAGCAGAAGTCTTGTTAAATAAAGGACAAGAGAGGCACAATCATAATCCAACAGGGTGGCCCAGAGCCAGGGCAGGCGAGTACACAGCAGGAGGACAAACCCCAAACTAGCTTTTTCCTCTATACTTGCCATCCACCTTGACTGTGGTCGTTACCAACTACTCGCCCTGAGCTCCCACACTAGGTCTGAGCAGCTGTTGCCCATTTCTTTGATCAGGAAAAAGGGGAAACCTGGCAGAGGGGAGAGAGGAGATAGAATGACCAAGTAGCTAGACTTAAGCTGTGGAGCGGAAAGAGGAGCCATGGAGCCATCTCTGTCCATGTGCACGTTTAACGTGCGTCCCGCTCTGTGTCAGACTCTTCTGAGCATCTCTCTGTGGGGAGCAGGTAGATGAGGTCGCTGTCTTCATGATGCTGACATAAAAGTGAGAGACGGTTGATGAATAAGCAAACCAATACCCTGTATGGTTCGGATGATGGGCCGGGGAATGGAACCCTTCACTGCACTGGGGAAGCAGGTTTCAGATGTCCAGAGACTCCAGAATGGGGCTCCCAGGGGCAGCCGGGTGTGCATGAGTCTCAGCTCGGGAAGGGTACCAGGGCTGGAGCAGTGTGGAGGGGATTCCCACCATTGGGCTGTGGTCATCCTCAATTGGTATTCCTAGGAAAACAGGGGCCGGGAAGTCCCACAGTAGGGGTGCTGGAGGAGGTGGCTGCAATGATACGGAGAGGGGAGAGGCAACCCCCCATTCCTCGCCCAAGTTCCAGCTATAGCAGAATGATGCGCAGCACACCTGAGGCCTCCCAATCTGTCTCTAGAGCTCCTGCGTGTGACTAACCTCCGTGTGAACTTCTCCAAACTGCACACCCTGGGTGACAGGCCCCTTGGAGGCCTCAAGGGACACCCCTTCTGCTACTATGCCCTCTATGAGCTCATGGCCAGAGGCAGCTGCTTGTGCCATGGCCACTCCTCTGAGTGCAGGCCTGCACCTGGGGCACCAGCCAATGTGGAAGGCATGGTGAGCACTGCGGGAGGGGCATCCTGCAGCTTGTGGGGTGGGAAAGCTGGGGGGCTGGGGCAGACTTGCCTTGCCCTCCTTTCGGCCAGGTGCATGGCCATTGCGTCTGCCGCCATCACACAGCAGGTGCCCACTGTGAGCGTTGCCAGGACATGCTCCAGGCCCGCCCATGGCACCCAGCAGAGCCTGGGCACCCCCATGCCTGCCAGGGTAGGTGCCATGCCCTACCCAGCCTGGCCACACTGGCCAAGAGGGAGCCCAACCCCACACCCTCCTTCCTTGTTCTGCCCCAGAGTGCCAGTGCCACGGGCACGCCCGCAGCTGCCACTTTGACATGGCCCTGTATCTGGTTTTTGGCAACGTGAGTGGAGGTGTGTGTGACGCGTGTCAGCACAACAGCTGGGCGCCGCTGTGAGCTCTGCCGGCCCGTCTTCCACCGAGACCCCCAGGAAGAGCCCCGTTCCCCTCACTCCTGCAAACGGGAGCCTCCAATCCCAGCTCCTGGTCATTCCCTTCCATGGTGACCCTCCAACCTCACTCTGTCCTCACTCTGACTCTGGATCCAGCCTGGGACTGTGACCCTGCGGGTGCCCTGGAAGGGGGATTGTGTGATGCCCACACAGACGAGACCCACGGCCTCCTCTCTGGGCAGTGTCGCTGCAAAGTAAATGTCTGGGGCCAACGCTGTGACTCCTGCTGGCCAGGTCACTATGGCCTGAGCCTTTCCCACTCAGAGGGCTGCCGGCGTGAGTGACCCCACTCCTTTGTCCTCCTCGCTCTGTCCCCAATCACTGCCCAAATAACGTGTACCCACACTCCCCTGCAGCCGTGCCATTAGCATCTGAGAGCCTTGCCCCTTAGCCTGCAGGTGCGATTCCCGGGGCCAGGTCCCTGGCACTCGTGCCTGTGATCCCTCCAGCAGTGCCTGTCACTGCAAACGCTTTGTCTCTGGACGGGACTGCAGCCGTTGTCTGGTGAGTCTTGACCTACCTTTTGATTTGACCCTGATCTTGGGTACTGAGCTTCTGGAAGCTGACCAGAGTAAGGCTAAATTCAGCGTGACGGCAAATGGAGCCTCGAACATGGAGTGGTGCCACTTCCTGACCTGGTCACATGGTCACCATCTATGGCTCTCTCGGGCACATCAATGTTTCTCTCCCTCTCTTTCTCCTTCCCTTCCCCTCTCTCTAAGTAAATAAAATATTTTTTTTTAAAGATTTTATTTACTTATTTTTAGAGAGAGGGGAAGGGAAGGAGAAAGAGAGGGAGAGGAACATCAATCAGTTGCCTCTCACATGCCCCCAACTAGGTACCCGGCTTGCAGCCTAGGCATGTGCCCTGACCGGGAATCAAACCAGCAGTCTTTTTGGTTCACAATCCACTGAGCCACAGCAGCCAGGGCTGTGTCCTTATCTTCTTTCTTTCTACCTCCCCTCCATGAGGCCTTGCAGGAGTTCACCAGAGTCCCCTCTCCCCTTCTCAGCCACAGGCAGAGGGCATTCAAGCCCTAACCTCAGCTCCCTTCCTCCAGCATCAGGCAGTTCCGTAAATGACCCCCCAGGCGCCCGACCCTCACCCTCACCCTGTCCAGATCAAATAAACTGTTCTTCCTCCACTACCTCCTGTCTCTTGCAGCCTGAGTTCTGGGGTCTCAGCAGTGACTCTGCGGGCTGCAGGCCCTGTGACTGCGACTTTGGGGACGCCTACAGCAACAGGTACAAGGCAGAGCCTGGGAGTGGGCTCAAGTGGCAAAAATTGCGTGTTGATTCTGTCCCCTCCCCATCTCCATGCTTACCCAGGTGTTCAGCAGGGGAGGGCATCTGTCTGTGCCGTCCCCATCTCCGTGGTCGCCGCTGCCGTGAACTCCGGTCTGGGTACTTCTGTGCTGCCCTCGACCAGGCCATTGCTGAAGCCGAGCTTGGTCAGAGCCTCCAGCCAGCTGACCCTCGGCTGCCTGTGAGTGTCCAGGAGGGACAGAGGCAGGAGGAAATCAAGGCTCAGACCTTGGGGCTCGGAGGAGGAAGGGAATATTTAGAGAGAGCTTGTTGGAAGAAAAGGCTGGGTGAGGTTAGGAAGGTGAGGAAGTCCGGACAGGACCATCAGCATGGTCAGAGGTTTGGTGTCTTGGACAGAGTTCACATTCCCAGGACAGTGGGAGAGGACAGGACCAGAATGTTGGAGGACACTGATACCCCACTTGCCCCCAGGGAGCCCACTGGCCTGCTCCTTCCTACTGTACACAAGCCCCAGGGAACTCCTTTCATTGGCTCCGGCCCCGACTTCAGAGACAGCGTGACTCTCGCTGTGCCCTCCACCCTGACAGGTGAGCCCGCTACAGACACCAGCAGCCCACAGTGAGGCATCTGAGGAGCAGGGTAAAGTCATCAGTCGCTAGGGTCTTAGTAGGGACCTTAGCCCTGGGGATATGGGTCTCTGAAGTCTTGGGGGAAGGAAACCTGAGTCCTGCGGGTTCTAGGTCCCACAGTGGCCTGGGCCTGGGAGTCTGTGTGTCATATCCAGGCCCCAGAGAAGCCCGTGTCCCGGCATCTGGGAGCTGGCTCTGCACTGTGGACTGGCTTAGACTTTGCACATGTGCTTGATGGGGCTGGCCTCTCTCTGCTGGCTCCCATGGTGCCTCGTGCCCTGGAGTATGACATTGTCCTGCGCTATGAGACCCAGGTCAGTGGAATGGGTGCCGGGCAGGTGGATGGGTGGTGCGGAGGGGCAGTTCTATGACTGCTGACCCCTGACCCTAGGCATCTGAAGACTGGCAGGCATTAGTCAGTGTCCGTGCTCAGTCTCCGCCCAGTAGCACTCGCTGTGCCCACCCGCTGCCCTTGGAGCATTTCTTCCAGGCCACCTTGACCCATGCACACAGGTGGGCAGGACACTGTGGCCCCTGATACCAAGGCCCTATTGTGCTCCCAAATATTTGACACAACACCCAGCCAAGGTGGGAAATTCCCAGTATGGAATATCATCATGTCTAGAACAATTGAAACAGGGGCTTAATTTAAAATAGAGCAGGATTTAAGAAGCTGTTCTTTTTCCGTTGTTCAGATGATGCAATGTTGGACCAAATCACTAAAAACAGAAATGGGTCATCGCTGGGACCACTTGATCCTGACCTCCTTAGCCCACCGTTTCTGCTCTCCCCCTCCCTACAGAGCTGTGGTTCTACCCAGACCTTTTTGCTTTGAACCGGGCACACGCTACTCCACGATCCTGCACGATCCTGCGCCTGTGGCGGACCGCAGCTGGCCGGAGGCCTGAGGGAGGCATCGTCTTTCTGGATTCGGTGAGATTCTCATGGCCCCACCCCACCTCTGGGGGAGGCGCAAGGTACAGCAGACAGTCTGGGCTGAGGGACGGGGTCACAGGGACGGGGTCACGGAGGCCTGGAGCTGCACCGAAAGGACGGAGATAGGTGGAGAGTGTAGGAAGGAGGATCAGGTGGGGAAATCACGTTCTGAGGACAGGAGGTGAGAACAGGCAGGCGCCAGACCTCACTGGAGCTTGCGGACCAGCAGAGGGATAGTGGGGAGCCATGCAAGGACCCGAGCAGAGAAAAGACGTGGGGTAAATGGACCGTCGGGGACGCTGCTGCAAAGACTTTGAATGCAAGGGGGCTTGACCCGGACTAGATTGGGGCCACTGGAGTGAAAGGAGAAACAGACTCAAAGAGAAACTGGAAAGGCATGGGAAGGGCTGTGAGGGCCAGTGCAAGGAAGGGCAGCGGGCAGTGGATGTTAGTGTGCAGGGCTGCGTTTGTGCCCGCTGCCTGCTGCCCTCCACCCTCCTGCCAGGTCGCACTCCTGCCAAGGGTAAAGGAGCTGCCTGGGCTGAGACCTGTGGACCCAGGGTCCACAGGGCACTTGCAGGAGCTCCATAAGGCGGGCTGCATGGAGGCAGTGAGGACAGGCCTGCCCAGCGCCGTGCCTGAGGCCTGTGCCCGCCTGCTCTGCGGCATCTCGGCCCTGCTTCACAGGGGCGGCCTCCGTGAGTGTGTGTCCTGGCTCCGCGGGCTGCAGGAGAGGGGTCAGAGGAGGTACCGTGAGGTTCATCTGATCTTGCCCTTTCTCTTGCCAGCATGTGAGTGCCACCCCCAGGGTTCGCTGAGTACTGAATGTGCCCTGCTGGGTGGGCAGTGCCCCTGCCGTCCTAACATCAGTGGTCATACCTGTGACCACTGTGTGCCCGGAACACATGGCTTTGGTCCCACTGACTTGCAGTGGTGAGCCTTCGGGGCCAGTGGGTGGGGGGTCTGGGACAAGCCACCTCCTTTCTCTGCATGTCTTGATCGTCCTGTCATTCCCCATAGAGTGCCGCTGCCATTCCAAGGGTGCCACCAGTGCCATCCGTAACCCTGTGAGTGGGCAGTGCACATGCCGGGTGGGCCTTGCTGGTTGCCGCTGTGACCGCTGCCTCCCCAACCTGTGGGGCTTCCCACACTGCCAGCCCTGTGTCTGCAATGGGCATGCTGAGCCGTGCCACCCACTCACAGGCATCTGCCAGGCCTGCCACGGAGCCACGACAGGCCAGCACTGTGAGAGGTGAGTGATGGCCCTGGAAGCATCGGGTGAGGATTAGGATGCGTGGGCCAGGCCCCATTCTGTGTGCTGCACCCCCAGGTGCTTGGCCGGCTACTATGGAGACCCCACCCTGGGCTCAGGCCGGCAGTGTCGGCCTTGCCTCTGTCCTGGGCCCCCTGGCTCTGGCCTCTATCATGGGACTTCCTGCCACATGGACAGCACAAGTGGACGTGTTCTGTGCCTCTGTGCACCTGGCTATGCAGGCGAGGCATGGCTGGCAGTGACAGGCAAACCCGTGGCCCTTCTCGCCTGTCCATGAGGCAGATCTTTGCCGGGGCCACCTGTGTGTCCAGGTGCAGGCCAGGCACCTCTCCTCAAGGGGTTCCCGTGGAGCAAGGAGGTCAAATGGGAGGAATTACAGACATGGAACTTGTAAGCCAGGAGATGGGCCTTAATGTAACTGCTGTGTCTTCGGCCCTCCGGACTAAGCTGTGGACTTTCTGGCTGGTTATGAGGGGCCCGTGGTCCTCAAGGGACCTGAGACAAATACATGTACCCTAATCCTTCCAGGGCCCCGCTGTGATCACTGTTCCTCGGGCTACTTTGGGCACCCTTGGCCAGAAGGGGACCCCAGAAGGAGTCCGTGCCAGCCCTGCCAGTGTAACAACAACATTGACCCCCGGGACCCCGCTGCCTGTGACCCACACAGTGGGCGCTGCCAGAGATGTCTGCACCACAGCCATGGCCCTGGCTGCGCCCACTGCAGGCCTGGCTTCCACGGCAGTGCCTTGAGCCCAGGGGGCTGCCGGTGTGAGTGTGTGGAGGGGTGGGTGGAGGTGTGCCAAGGTGGCAGGTGGGCTCTCTTTCCTCTGTCCCTGCTCCCTGCCAAGCCCTTCTTCTCCTCAGGCTGCAGCTGTGACCCCCGGGGCACCGTCCCTTCGCGGTGCCGATCTGGGGCTGAAGCCTGCTTTTGCAGACAGCTCAGCGGGCAGTGCCCATGCCGCCCCCACACACTAGGGAAGGACTGTAGCCGCTGTGCCCCCCTCTTCTGGAACCTAGGGGGACCTTGGGGCTGTGAGCCCTGCAGCTGCCATGTGCATCACTCACTGCATCCAGCGTGTCAGCCAGTGAGTGAGCCTGTGTTGCATGTGGCACTTGGCTGTGGTCAGGTGTGAGTGGATGTGTGGGAGCCTGTGACAGGGTGTAACTTATGGCTGGTGTGAGTGCTTATGGAACCACCAGCACTGAGGTACGTGTGGCCGCAAGCAGCTGTGCAAATCTGTGTGCTTGGGTGGCATTAACAACGAGCTCCTGGATGGGCCCAGGGAGAGCAGACATGAGCCTGCATGTGCCTGGCCCCGTGCGCGGCCCTGCATTCATGCATGGGTCACCCCTGTGAGTGGGTCAAGATGAACGAGCGCCAGCAGGCCCTGGAGGCAGCCCCACAGCAGGTGCAGACGCTCCTGGAATCTCCACCCACTGTGGGGATCCCACAGCAACTTACAGAGTGGATAGCTGGACTCAGGCAAGGAGCCTGAGGTCTGCGGGGAAGAGGCCTCCAGCTAGCTTCCCAGGGTCGGGGGTTCAGAGGGCCCCAGGTTGGCCTGAGTCCTGGGTCTGGGTTTTTTCTTAAGTGAGAAATCATGGAGGAGAGACATCTCCAGCCATGCTGATGCGCCATCTCCCCACAGGAGGGCAGTGACCGAAATGGCCCAGATGCTGTGGGCTCCAGGACAGGTTGTGGCAGAAAGCGAGTCATGGGTTAGGGAACAGTGAACATCTGGAAGAATTATCCTGGGAGCTAGACTCTCTCAAGGGCTTGGCCTGGCCCAAGAGGGCTATAGGAGTCCAAGGCGAGGCCAGATGGGCAGGTAGGTGGATTGGTAGATGATGGCAGGGGCTAGACTCAGTCAGGAGGAAGGGACCAGGTGCCATTGCTTACATATAAGGGGGGCCTAGAGACTGCCTCAGCCAGTGAGACCTAAGCCATCTCTTTATCCATCCCTCCCATCTGCAGATGCTGAGGCCCAAGTCTCCTCAGCAACCCTGCTTTCCCAGGAGGCCATGCTCAGAGCCCAGACCATGGCCTCACTTGGAGGACTAGACAGCATTCTGGGACAGGCCCGAGAGGCCCTGCGGTGCACAGAGCAGCTTCTGTGGGGGACAGGCCAGCCTACAGGGACAGCTATGTGGAAGCTGAAACTAAAGGGGCTGGTGGACAGGGTCCAGATGCTGCACCCACAGCTTCTGAGACTCCTGGTCAAAGCCGGAGTGGTGGGTGGAGACATGGATCACTGGTGGGGCGGGAGGTGGGGGGTTGGCAAGGCAAGGACTCTCTCCTAGGGTCGACCTGGGTGTGGAGCAGCAGAGGAATTTGAGATGTGCATTCTGGGTTCCCCTATCTGGTGTGCAGGAATGCAGGGGTCAGGGCCACGGGCCCATATTCCTGTACCTGTGTTGTTTCCCCTTGCCCTGGGCCCCTGCCCATTGCCCAGTGGACTCTGGTTATCTCCCGTAATGCCTCTTACAGCCTGGACATAGTGATCGCAGCCTTGGAGCAGAATCAGCAACTGGTACAGAGCTATAGGGGCCATGGATGGGAGCCATGGAGGTGACATGGGGTCACAGCTTGGCCATTGGGCTATAGGAGACATGTTTCACATCTGACCTGCCCCTCCCAGCTGCAGCAGATCCAGAGCACAGCAAGCTCCGTGGGAATCCAGGCTTGGGAGATGTGGCACCGAGCCAGGGGGCCCTGGGATGTGGCCTCCACAGCCCCTGTGCAAGCGGCAGTGCACAGGATCCAGCGCTTCCTCTTGGGTACGTGTCTGCTTGTGTGTCTGTTTCCAGCTGAGGGCTGGCTGGTGGGCATTCAGGCCCCTGCTGTGACACTCCTCTCAGGACAAGGCCACACAGAAGGGTTGGCCGGGGCTCAGGTTGGGGGACTAGTGTGCTGATAGATGTGTGACAGCTGGCTGGGGGTCTGGGGGCCTGAGGGCCTGACTGTAGCTTGTGTCCATTTCCACAGTGGAAGTAACCCCACCATAGCTGAGTGCTGTCTACCTACCATGTAACAACTGGTTCACAAGTTTCTGAAAATGTAATAATTGTCCTTTGTAAGCTTTCAGCATACCATGTAGTCCTGTCAGAGGCAGGATCAGTGAGATGTTAGGGTCAGGGTCCATTGGGTCAGGGGTTAGAGCTCACATCCAACATCCCCACTCCCACAGAAGAAGGTGCAGATGCTATGAGTGTGGAGCTGGTGGCTTGGTGTGGGCTAGCTGTGCCCCTCACCCAGGGCGGGGCATCCGGCATCACCCTCCTGCTGGATCAGATCCAGTGTGCCCTCCCTTCCCTGGACACTGGAGGCCAGGAGCTGCCCAAAGCTGGAGGTGTCCTCCATCAGGCACAGCAGACCAGGTGAAGGGCCAGGAGGCTGGAAGCAGAGGTCAGAGGGTGGGGAGGAAGGGATGCCTCCTGATTGTCTGTACCTTTCAAGGAGGGTACAACCAGGGCCCAGGACCAAGCGCTGGATGTTCAGGGGGTACTGACTGAGGCAGGAACTGATGCAAGGGCTGCAGGCGGCAAAGCAGACACTCGGAGGCCTGGAGGCCCGTGTACAGGAGGTGCCACCCCACCGTATACCCTCAGCTCCCTGCACCTCTTATTCAGTGGAGCTGCTGTGGTCCCATTTTCCCCGTGAGGTCCTTGACCCATTGTGATACCATGAGGCTACTCAATACCCTGACCATGTGAACCCTCTACCTAGTTGCTGCCCTGCTGTGACCACCCTGTGATCCCCTGACCTTTGCCCCAGATGGCAGGGCGCCTGGCTGGGATAACAATGGCAGTGGATGTGACCCCAGCCCTGGGGCTTTTGTCTGGTGCAGCTGTGGCTCTCAGGACCCACTTGGCCCTGAGTCAGCGGCAGGCCCAAGAGGCAGAAGAGCATTCAGCACATGGCTGAGGGCCTGGGCAAGGTGAGATGGGGACCGTGGACACTGGGGTCTTGGGGACCCTCTGGGACCCTCTGAGCGTGAAGTGGGATGAAAGCTGGGCCCGGGCCATGCTGCGCTAAGGCAGGGTTTCAGTTCTACAACTTCCTGCTTTCCGGGACCCTTGGGCAGCAAACAATGTGTTGGGTCTAGGTGGGGTGGGGTTTCAGATCCAGTCCTGCTTCAGGAGTTGCAGGTGGTCCGTGGCAGAGTTGCAGGAGGGCACAAACAGCCTGATGGGCACAGTGAAGGACTCAGGAGAGCGGGTACGGCGGACTCGAGCTGAGGCCCAAGAGCTGCTGAAGCAGGTGCAGAACAGCTGGAGTTGTCTAGAGGGTGTGTGGCCGGCCACGGTGGGGTGGGTGTCGGGTGGTGGCAGGAACAGATGGGAGCATCAGAGTCGGGACTCTGGGTGTGTGGAAGGGCCAGGACTGGGTCCAGGTCAGGTCCACATTCATCCAGGGGTCAGGGCTGGAGTCAAAGGAGGTCAAATGTAGATTAGGGTTAGAGATGATTTGGGGATGGGGTCGGGGTCAGAATCAGGGTTGTGGCAGAGAAGAGGGCCAGAGTCAGGTACTAGGGCCAGAGGTCAGAGCCTGATTCGGACAACTTATCTCCAGGGTTGGAGCACCGCCTGGTGCAGAATGAGCAGATGCTGGGCAAGAAGGTGGCCATGCTCTGGGCCCTGGAGAAGTGGGCAGCAGAGCTGCTCGAGCACCTGCGGCTGTGGGCCAGTGCGCATGCCACCTGCTGAACAGTGTTCATGATGCCACAAAGGGGGGCTCCGAGATAGCCTGGGTGACTCAGCAACCTCAAAGTGACCCAGGCATCTCCTGACTTAGAGACCACAGACCCCACTGAGTGCCTGCAAACCCTAAATGACCCTCATCGTGACTCTATGATGTCCTCTGTTGTAGACCACTCTGCCTGGTTCTAGGAATTGTATCTTGATCCCTTGTGGCTAAGGGCGAGGGATGACCTCTGGAATGCCAGCTGCAGGAGACAAAGCTTGTCTCTGGTAGCAAATGCTGCCTCGGTTTCCCCTCCCGGCCCCCAAACCTTGGTCGGAAGTCAGTGACGGGTAAGACCCCTCACAGTTGGGGTCAACCTAAACCAGACTCCATCACTTGGGAGGCCTTCATGGAAGGACTTGGGGGACTGCAACAAAGAGCAATGGACTCTCCCATGTGCCCCTCCCCCCCTTTGACATAGCCCGAGTCCCCCTGTCCTCTGGGAGAAGTGCTTCCTGGCTCTAATCCCCTTAAGCCTGAATACCTGATGGGGAGGGGTGCAGCTCCTTGCCTTGCTAGGGTGTGTCCTGGGGGAAAATCTGGCATTGCAAAGACTTCCTGATAAACCTGGGAAATCTGCTCTGCTAGGAGTGCTTTCAGTCATATGTTAAGGGTTCGAGCAGGAAACCCTAAAACTCTGTTCCTGACAGACTCTGAAGCCCTCAGATTTCTTTGAAATGTTATCTGCTGTTTGATCCTTGCCCCCCTGTATTCCCGTGTATTACAATCCAATAAAAGGCCCTGGAGGAGGGGGCTCAGGGCCTTTCTCTCCTCAGAGAAACTGGCTGCTCACTTCTCCTCCCCAAGCAGATCACGTCATGTCTCAGTCATATTTACTCTCATCCGTGGCACATGGAGGGACTTGCAAGGAAAGTCACCCCCACAGTCCTCCAGTTGCCCTCTGACCTTGAGAAACCAGAGAGATCACATAAAGTTCCCTGAGTCCATGCAGTGTCCTAGACCCTGGTAAGATCCTGATCTCTGAGAGATGTGAGATTCCGAGTCATCTTTAGTATATCTGAGCCCCTCAGGTTAACTACATGACCCCCAGGGTGACCAGAGACCCCTACTCCTGATAACCAGCTACCCTGAAAATCCAGCAAATTGATTGACCTCCTGCCCAGACTCTTGTTGTGAAGCCTAGTGATTGCCCTGAAGAACCCTAGCTTTGTTTCCTGGGCCCACGACTCCAGGTACTCTCTACCGGGCCCCTCAGAGCCAGGCTGACCCAGCCCTCCGACTCGCAGAGCTGTGGTCCCAGCCTCAGTCCCAAGAGCCTGGGTGGGGCCAGAGCTCCGGCAGCAGCGCGCATTCCAGCCGGGACTCCGGCACTCCAGGCAGGCTAGAAGGTCCGGAGTGGATAAAGAGCCATGAGATCTGGATCGGCTCCCTGCTTCTTTAGTCTGTTGTTGACCACCAGCACCTGTTTTTATACTGAGTCTGTACTTCTCGAGCCTACTTGCTTTGGTGACTAGTGGAGACAAAGACCCCTGGAATCGTGCCTCGGGGCGGAGTGGCCTTTCTCTGTCTCTCCTCCTATCCTCATTTTCTCCTGTTCCTCCAGCTGGTGTCCTAAAGCTTTCTGAATCCCTGAATGGGGGACTTGACAAACAGCTCCTCCCCCCCCACTCCTTGCACCACCCTGGGTCTGAACACCTAGTTGCTGTGGACCATCACGGCACCTGTGATCCTTGGGACAAAGGCTAGGTTCCATGGGCCATTTGAAATCTCAAAGATCAGATTCCTAGCTTTTGCTTATGCCATGGCCCCTACTTGGTGCACCCCTAAATATGGTGGCCTAAAGCCCCAAACCCACCACCTTTCCCTTGCTCTGCAGATGTCTGGGCATCAGGGTACAGTAAAGATTTGCAGCTGAGATGACCTGGATCTGGTTTCTAGACTGAGGGTCTTTTTCGGAGCGGGGAGGAGACCTCTGCACAATGTTGTATTCCTGCCTTAGATCCACTCCATGCTTTCCTTCTTGCCATGGTTCCCAACTTTGCTCAAAGTCGCCAGACTCTCAGCCAAGTGGAGGGACCGCCGGACAGGGGACTGAGTGGGGATTCAGCCAAAGACCCACAGGAGCAGGGTCAGCATGGGACCTCAAGGGAGAGGGTGGGTGGGCACATCTCCCAGATCTCTCATCCCCGATTCCCCTCCTCTTTAGGATGGAGTGGGCCGCAGGGGAACGAGGGAGGGACCCGTGGGGACAGCCTGGGCCCTGGGAGCTCCGTGTGGGCCTGCTGCTGAGTGGTGAGAGGGCCTGATGAAGGCCTGGGGGTTTTGGGATGTGAAGGTGGGTGGTGGGGTAGCTGGCCCTGGGGCTACCCACTGAGGAGCACAGTGGAACCGGCCGACCCACTGTTCCCAGTGCTGGCCACCTCCCTGGCCCAGGCCCCTGCTCCGGATGTGCCAGGCTGTGCTCAGGGAAGCTGCTACCCCGCCACGGGTGATCTGCTAGTGGGCCGAGCTGACAGACTGACCGCCTCATCCACCTGTGGATTGCATGACCCCCAGCCCTACTGCATCGTCAGTCACCTGCAGGTGCTGCTGGCTGGTGGTGGGGTGGGAGCTGAGTCAGTGTGGGACTGGCACTGGCTGAGGCCCTGACCCTGACCCCATCCAACCCAGGATGAGAAGAAGTGCTTCCTGTGCGACTCCCGGCGCCCCTTCTCTGCTAGAAACAACCCAAACAGCCATCGCATCCAGAATGTAGTGACCAGCTTTGCCCCACAGCGCCGAACAGCCTGGTGGCAGTCAGAGAATGGTGAGGCCGTGGGTGAGACATGGGGTGAGCAGGGCTGCCCACCAATAGCCTCAAGTCCCTGACCTCCGACTCCTGCCCCAGGTGTCCCTGTGGTCACCATCCAGCTGGACTTGGAGGCTGAGTTCCATTTCACACACCTCATTATGACCTTCAAGGTGCCAGCATGTCTGGGAGCCTGCTCGAATCCTCCTGCTTGGCTCCCCCTTGCCCCTGAACAGGGTCCCAGCTCCCTTAGCCCAGCCCCCTTGAGCTCATATGCTGTTCTCTGGCTGCGTGGGAGGCTCCTTCATCTCCCACATCTTCCATTGCCTTCTGCCTCCAGGCCTTTGCACATGCTGCCCTCATCCCAGGTCGGGTCAGGCGCTGCCTCCATGGGCCCCATGATCCCTGAGCCTCCCTCCAGAGGTGGCTCCCTTCCCTCGTCTTTGCTTGGCTTCCACTGGTCATCCCCACCTGTCTTGTGAGCTGCTTGTGGGCAGGCCCCTGCTGGACAGAGCTCTTGATGGGCCTGGGCCAGACTTGGGTCCAGGCGCCCTCTGATCAGCCATGCCCCCTACCCAGACGTTTCGCCCTGCCGCCATGCTGGTGGAGCGCTCAGCAGACTTTGGACGCACCTGGCACGTGTACCGATATTTCTCCTATGACTGTGGGGCTGACTTCCCAGGAGTCCCACTGGCCCCCCCACGGCACTGGGATGACGTAGTCTGTGAGTCACGCTACTCAGAGATCGAGCCGTCCACTGAAGGCGAGGTGAGGCCTGGGATCTGGGCTTGGAGCAGGAAGTGGGGTTGATGGACCTGAGGGCAGGGTCCGGTGTCTAATGGCTCCATGCCCTTCCAGGTCATCTATCGTGTGCTGGACCCTGCCATCCCTATCCCAGACCCTTATAGCCCACGGATCCAGAGTGAGTGCTCCACCCTTTGGTCCTGGCACAGTCCCAGAGTCCAGCGGGTGACTGTTTGGGGCCTTGGTAGCTATTTTGGGTGCTTCCTAGGGCAGGTGCCAAGTCCAATTTAGCTCACATAGTAGCAGACAGGAGGTCTCCCAAGGTGACCTTGGCAGCTGCAGCCCCTGAGTTGGTCTAGGGTAGCAAAAGCCTAACTGGTCAGCTGGCCCCCAAGCCTTTCCCCCACCTCTTAGACCTGCTGAAGATCACCAACCTGCGGGTAAACTTGACACGGCTGCACACGCTGGGGGACAACCTGCTGGACCCACGGCAGGAGATCCGAGAGAAGTACTATTATGCCCTCTATGAGCTGGTTGTGCGTGGCAACTGCTTCTGCTATGGACACGCCTCACAGTGCGCACCGGCCCCAGGCGCACCAGCCCATGCAGAGGGCATGGTGAGGGGCTTCAGGTGGCTGGCACAGGGCAGGGGCAGGAACAGGCGTGGATGGACAGCACTGACCACGTGTCTGCCTGCCCTCCTAGGTTCATGGGGCCTGCGTGTGCAAACACAATACTCACGGCCTTAACTGTGAGAAGTGTCGGGATTTCTATCACGATCTGCCCTGGCACCCAGCTGAGGATGGCCACAGTCATGCCTGCAAGAGTGAGTGAAGCCCTGGCCCCCAGGGCCCTGGAACTCTGTGGCCTGGCTGTGCTCTGAGTAGAACCTAGGGCTGGATGGCCGAGCCCTAGACACCCAGGCTGTGTCCAAAGGATGTCCAGGCCTGGGTGCCCCTGAGGACACTGGAAGTCCTCCTTGACAATCTGCTCTAGGTGGGGATCCATTATAGTACTGAAGCCTTAATGTTCCCAAACTCCCTCTCAAATTCTGGCCTGTGGTAGGGACCTAAGGTGGCACTAGGGCCTCTTACCCTTGGGACATGGCCCCTGAAGAGGCCTTTGCCCCGCACTCTCCTCCTCCAGAGTGCGAATGCCATGGGCACGCTCGCAGCTGCCACTTTGACATGGCCCTGTATCTGGCTTCTGGGAACGTGAGCGGAGGCGTGTGTGACGCGTGTCAGCACAACACAGCTGGGCGCCGCTGTGAGCTCTGCAGGCCCTTCTTCTACCGAGACCCAACCAAAGACCTGCGGGACCCAGCTGTGTGCCGAGGTGAGGCTGGGATCGGGCACGGGAGAGGGAGGGCTGGGCCTGGGGTGGGAGCTGGGGGGGCCAGACTGGTGCTCGGACTGCAGGGATTTGGTGTGGGGGGCACAGAGGGGCCAAACTGGGAATCTGAGGAGGGATTGGAAGATTACTGGAGCTGGGGCTAGTTGGCATAGGGTGACCTTGTACTTTTTTTGCCCTCAGCCTGTGATTGTGACCCCATGGGTTCCCAAGATGGTGGTCGCTGTGATACGCATGACGACCCTGCACTAGGGCTGGTCTCAGGCCAGTGTCGCTGCAAAGAACATGTGGTGGGCTCTCGCTGCCAGCAATGCCGTGATGGCTACTTTGGGCTCAGTGCCAGCAACCCTGTAGGCTGCCAGCGTAAGTGCTTCCTGCCCTGACTTGTGCCGTCCTTAACCCTTGACCTCTTATTCTTGACCCCACTGAAAATGAGCTCTCTGCAGCTCCCCAAAGTGCTGATGAGCCTCCTTTCCCTGCAGGATGTCAGTGTGATGCACGAGGCACGGTGCCTGGGGGCACCCCTTGTGATCCCAAGAGTGGAACCTGTTTTTGCAAGCGTCTAGTGGCCGGACATGGCTGCAACCGCTGCCTGGTGTGACTGGAGGGGGTGGGGCTCGGGGTCCAGCACTCCTCCTCAGAGGATAGGCCAGGAGTGGGGTCCACGCCCCACTGGGTGGGTGCTGGGAGCTTAGGGTCCAGTCTAGGCCAAGAGGCTGGCCTGGGAGGCCAAGGGTGGGATCCAGTTTTCGACCAGGGGTGGTAGAGGCTGAGAGCCATTATCAGATTCCCCACTGGGTGGCTAGGGGGTCTGTTTGTGGTCCCCAGCAACTTCTTCTTTTCTAGCCTGGCCACTGGGGCCTGAGCCACGACCTGCTTGGCTGCCGCCCATGTGATTGCGACGTGGGCGGTGCCTTGGATCCCCAGTGAGTGCTGTATACGGGGCTCCAGGAGGGGTGGGGAAATCCTGGGTAGGATGGGGTCTTGCTTTAAAACTGCACTCCACAGATGTAACGAAGCCACGGGTGAGTGCCACTGCCGCCAGCACATGGTGGGGCGACGCTGTGATCAGGTCCAGCCTGGCTACTTCCGGCCCTTCCTTGACCACCTGACATTTGAGGCTGAGGACACCCGAGGCCAAGTAGGGAATCAGTGTTGGAGGGCAGGGCATGGGGAGGTGGGGTTATGGGTGGTGCCTTGTGTGAGGAGGGTGTTTGGCCAGCCGTCAACACGGCCTCAGCTGCAGAGCTGGGGTCTGTGGACAGGCTGCGGCAGAAAAAAAGGCTGCAGGAGTGTGCCTTGCCTGAGCCCCCACCCAGAGCCACGTGTCCCCCCAGATGCTTGATGTGGTGGAGCGTCTGGCAAGTCCCGAGGGAACTTCGTCCTGGACAGGCCCAGGCTTTGTTAGGCTGCGGGAAGGCCAGGCACTGGAGTTCCTGGTGACCTCTGTTCCAAGAGCCATGGACTATGACCTGCAGCTGCGCTTGGAGCCCCAGGTCAGCCCCCGTGACACCTAAGCCAGAGCTAACCCTCTGGGTGTGGGAGCATTTCCTTCACCATCCTGTTCCCTCAGGTACCAGAGCAATGGGCAGAGATAGAACTGACCGTGCAGCGCCCAGGGCCTGTGTCTGCCCGCGGCCCATGCGGGCATGTGTTGCCCAAGGATGACCGCATCTCAGGGACTCTGCAACCCGACACCAGGTAAGGGTCCAGATGGCAGCTTCTACAATGGTGGGAGGTTGTAGGCCAGCCCTAAGACCCCAGAAGTGTCCTTGGAAGATGCTGCCCCCTCATTTATTTCTCCCTTCCTTCGAGTGCGTCTTCCTGAGTGCTGTTGGCCAGGTACTGTTGGGCATGGCACTGGGCAGAGGAAGGAAGGGGAGAGAAGGCCTGCTCTCTCCAGGGGTCTAAGCTCCGGAGGCCAAGGCAGAAACTCACGGGAAGCCATCCAGCGTCACTGTAGGGAATGCCCTTGGCAGGAAGGGAGGCCGTCAGAGCTCTGAACGGCGATGTGACCTGATGACTGTTTGATTGTGTTTCACGTAGTGTTTGCTTTCTGTATTTTTTTTCATCACTTTACTTCTTTGTAAACTTTTTATCATGTA